TATGTCGCTATTATTAGGCAAGCTCTATTTCGTTATTGTGAATTCGCATTGACGTAATTTTTGATGACGAAGTCAGGTGAGGGTCAGGAATATTATATGCAAAAATTGTTACGCTAAGTAACTAGAAGTTATTGAGGTAAGAAACTACATCCATAGGTGCATTACGAATAACGTCGCTATTATTGGGCAAGCTCTATTTCGTTATTGTGACGTTGCAGTGACGTAATTTTGGATGACGAAGTCAGGTGAGGGTCAGGAATATATATGCAAAAATTGTTACGCTAAGTTAACTAGAAGTTATTGAGGTAAGAAACTACATCCATAGGTGTCATTACTAGTAATGTCGCTATTATTGGCAAGCTTATTTCGTTATTGTGACGTTCGCAGTGACGTAATTTTTGGATGACGAAGTCAGGTGAGGGTCAGGAATATATATGCAAAAATTGTTACGCTAAGTTAACTAGAAGTTATTGAGGTAAGAAACTACATCCATAGCGGACACACAGCTATTTATCACGATTGCATTATGGTCGCTATTATTAGGCAAGCTCTATTTCGTTATTGTGACGTCGCAGTGACGTAATTTTTGGATGACGAAGTCAGGTGAGGGTCAGGAATCATATATACAAAAATTGTTACGCTAAGCCTAATAGAAGTATTGAGGTATGAAACTACACCATAGCGGACAGACAGGCGTATTTAACGATTGCATTATGGTCGCTATTATTAGGCAAGCTCTATTTCGTTATTGTGAAGTCGCATTGACGTAATTTTTGGATGATGAAGTCAGGTGAGGGTCAGAAATATTATATGCAAAAATTGTTACGCTAAGATAATTAAAAGTTATTGAGGTAAGAAACTACATCCATAGGTGGCATTACCAGTAATCGTCGCTATTATTAGGCAAGCTCTATTTCGTTATTGTGACGTCGTATTGACGTAATTTTTTGATGATTAAATCAGGTGAGGGTCAGGAATATTATGTGCAAAAATTGTTACGCTAAGTTAACTAGAAGTTATTGAGGTACGAAACTACACCCATACCGGACACACAGGCGTATTTATCACGATTGCATTATGGTCGCTATTATTGGGCAAGCTCGATTTCGTTATTGTGACATCGCATTGACGTAATTTTTGGATGACGAAGTCAGGTGAGGGTCAGGAATGATATATGCAAAAATTGTTACGCTAAGATAAGTATAAGTTATCGAGGTAAGAAACTACATCCATTGCGCTAAGGCAAATTAATATGTCGGTTTCTGCTTGTCTAAAGCCTTGCATAGAGTGAAAGCGTTCCACGTCCTATTAATAAAATGTGGCCCAATACATGATCAGTCTCTGGATATTAAATAACAAGTCTTTATGTCTGCGGCACCTAACCTCAATCATTGCGTGAATTAAATGTTCTTTCTGTTTGTCTAAAGCCTAGCTCAGAGCGGTATCGTATATCACCCTATTAATAGATCGTAGCACAATACATGAGCTATTGCTGGACATAAAATAATAAGTCTTTATGTGTGTGGTACCCAACTTCAACCATTGCGTAAAATAACATGTATTTTTGCTTGTCTAAAGCCTTGGTTAGAGTTGTATCGTATAACGCTCTATTTTAGATTGTAGCACGATACATGAGCTATTGTGGACAGAAATTGGTCAGAATGGGATATCGTGAACGTTCCTTGGCGACAATTTAGTCGCTTGTGATTCTTGTTTATTTTGAGCTCTGTACAACGACCCCGATAAGAGAGAGGTCGCTGACGTATTGAGTTTGTTGTCATACTCGTAGGCGCCATTACGGGGGACCGTCGCTATACTTTGGCAAGCTGTATTTCGTTATTGTGACGTCGCAGTGACGTAATTTTTGGATGACGTCATCAGGTGGGGGTCAGGAATCATATATCCAAAAATTGTTACGCCACGCCCACTAGAAGTTATTCAGGTAAGAAAGTACATGAGACCCAACCCAGACACCATGAGAAATCAATTTAAAGTAATTTTTTTGAAATTACCGGTACATTCATAGATTAAAGTATTTGAAATATTAGACTACGGCTAGTTTTGGCTTCAATTTGGTGAGTGAAGCAGGTCTAACCCACCTGGTCGTGCATCTAAGATCCAACTAGCTAGGCAATTCTGATTGGGCCATTTGGCATTAGGTGACTCAACTATAATCAGCATTGACGATATCTTTTGAGGAATATTACAGTATAAAACCCCTGTTGGCTAATTCGGCTATTCTCATAAAATTATTAATCTGGTGTGGCATAAAAAATTTTATTTTTTTGTTTGTATATTTTTCTTTTTTACTGAGTAATCAATTTTATGTCTCGCTTCTATTTCTTCCAATATTACCATATCTCGGTAATTGTGTGTGTGTGTGCGTATTTCGACTTTATAATGAGCATAACAGACTATAAAATAATTGCTAAAAATAAATAATTAATATGTAAAATCCTATCCTAATTAATGTATCATAGCTCCAACAAAAAATTGGGTCTAGTGTAGTTTAGTACCACGTAGAGCAGTGGTTCTCAAACTTTTTGAAAAATTATGCATAATGGTTCGTCGGTCCCCTTTCATATTTTCTGATGACTCTCGGTTCACTAAAGGAATGAAAGCAAATTGCAACGCGGTATATCAAGCATTCATCTATTAAAATGACATAAAAACAGTTCAATGAGATGGGTGCGCCTGCTTGGCTTCCACTAGTTCTACTTTGGGTTCTGTTTTTTATAATCAACTCTCATATCGGGTCTCACGTCCAATTTGTTTCGACATTTTGTTTTAATAGTGAATAACGTAGAGAAAGCTGCCTCACATTTGTAAATAATTGCAAATGGAATGAACATTTTTAGCGCCATCTTAGCGACATTGGGATGGATAAGACTGTGTCACTGATAATTTTTCTTTTCCTCCATAACTTAGCACAACAAAACCAAATTTCACATATGAATCGTTATATCTACATTTATTTTTTGTGGCGGAGGGCATTTTAAAATTACCCAGAGAAATTTACAATCAGATGCACATGCCTTCCATAAACAATAGACCTTCGCCCGAGCTTTGACCGCTGAAAAATTCTTCCTATACTTTACCATTGCAAAATTTTTGGGGCTATTTTAAGAGTGCTTTTGCGAGTTGGCGCTTGTAAAACGGGGTATTTGTTTCAAACCATCATTATGATTCATCAGTCATCACATACAACAATCTGTTTTTTAAAACTACCGATGAAGAATTTTAGCCTAGTCTATCACAGCTATTTCTACACCAATTTTTTATTACTGCAATTAAATTACAGAATTAAAACAGACAGAGTGATCATGAAATTATTTGATTTATATTTAAGTTTCCGAAACACAACTGAATACTAACGAATAGAGTTGAAATACGCGAAAGCGAGGTAATGTTTACGACCACGCTTGAAAATTTGTCTGAGTGAGAAAAGTGTCTGAGCGGATGCGAAAAGGGGGCATTAATACGTTTTGCATCTTGCTGATTGACCGAAGCTGATGTCACAAAGTGAACAAGGCAGTCGATGTTGGGAAAGGTCCATGCGCTCCAATTCACGCTATTTGCCACGTTCACCAACGTTTGGTACATAATTATGTCGATAGAGCGTGTCGTGCTTTGGAAAAACACTGTAAAAGCATAACATCAAAATTTTGCTTCAAATCAAAGTGCTTCTGTGTCGAAGTTGATGTTGTCTCGCGGTCCCCCTAAAATCGCTTCGCGGACCCCAGTTTGAGAACCAATGACGTAGAGGAAAGTGGGAAAGGTTAGGACACATTTTTTCATTTGCATGATTCGAGCCGGTTATTCTGCACATTCATTTCACTTTGCGGTACTAATGCAGAGAGGGGTAAATGTAGTTTTTATTCAGCGACCAAGAAATTCCGTTGTGACACACATCTTACCACCAAAATGCTTGAAAAACTTTGTCAAGTGTCCCATTGTACCCTACTTGTGGGGCACATTCGGACAGACCCTGGGGCACAATGGGTCATTCTGTTAAATTCAACGAAGTATGCACTAAAAAATAATCGAGGAATCAGCACTATCATCTAAAGAACAGGGGGGACTTCAAATTTGGAGATTCGATATTCTTGAAATGTTCAACCAAAATATTTTTCAAAAAATCCCGTAATAAATTAAATTATTTCCTCATCGAATCAGAATCGTAAATTTTTTCTGATTCTCAAATATATTCCATATTGGGCCATGGGCCAAAAGATACCCTAATATTACACAAAACATAACACATCTCTATGCACTTAATGGATCACACACTGTCGAATTGTGCCCAGTGGAGCATGTCCCACTGAACCCCGATCAATTGTTCCCCACGGGAAACAAATATTTTAAGACAGTTCCGCGTCGAGATTAGGAAGGCACATCCACTCGCCGACGTTATGAATATTTCACAGTGGGCTAAAGCTAAAAAATATAAGACTGTTGTATATCACGTTGGAAAAGCTAAAGTAGAAATAGAAAAAAATGAAATGATGAAATTTTAGTTTCAACCCTCCAAAACCAATTTCTCCTTATAGCTTGCGTCGGTCTGCATGGTCGTTGTCCGTTTGCGGGGACGTTGTAACTCACCGAATATTCAAACCGCAGACCAGATATAGTATATTGTGAGAGCTGATTTTCCATTGTACCCCATGTCCCACCTTTCCTAACTTCTAATCGGCTTGTCATAACCATTTTTGCATATGTTATTCTTAACCCCCACCTTCAGACCTGACTACGTCATACAAAAATTACGTCACTACAATGTTTCAATCACGTCATATGCTTGCCAAAGTATAGCTACGATCACCCAAATGGCATCTGGGCCGACGATAACGAACTTACTAACACTGGCGATCACTCTTATATTGGGATCGCTACGTTGGGAAAAATAGCTTGCTTGAATTTGGGTAATCGTCTGCGCGTTTTTGACGACCAAGAAGTTATTTTGGTACGAAACCACACGAGACCCAGAGAATTTAGATATTATATTTGTCTTTTTTTTAGGTTGAAATAGATTTGATAATGTTGTGTTTTAGGAAGTGTCTCAGTGTTATTTTTGGATTATACTTACTAACAATATGTCAGCTTACAACAAGTGTTTTGAGTGATGAAACAAACACAGGAAATACATCAGCTGAAGATACAAAACATGATGTACCACAGCCTCCTTCTAAAAATAATACGGTTACAGCTTCTCCTCCATCACAGACTCATCCAGGAATGAAGGATCTTATATACGCCAATCAAGATATGTTGAGACGAGCGATGTATGTAACTTTTGCAGTGTCTGGGATTTTAATTGTTTATTTTGGGATTCGTTTTATAAGGTAAGAATTTTGGTTTTAAGTTTGCTTCGATTAGTGCTAGGTTTAGGAGGTTTGATAAAAAGAAGATATTTCTGGTATCTGTATCCATTTACTAGTAAAGTTAAGATGGTGTAGCCTTTCATCGTCCAAATCCTCCCAAATAATGCAAAATTGAACACTGTACTTAATATGTTGTTTCAGTATTTAGAAACTATTGTTGGATTGATAAAAATTGTTAGGGGATCGTAAGCTAATAGCAATGATGTAAAAGAGACCATATCCATTCAATAATTGCATGAAATTGGCACAAAATATTCGATGTTAAAATGCAGTAAAGAATTCAATATGTAAACTATCTTATGAACGTCATCAATGACCAATTGTGTAATAAGTACTCGAAATTGAAACGTCAGGTGAGAGCATTTTTCTGGGCCATTCAGAGCTTGCTGAATAAACATGCTGGCATTGGTACCATTGGCAATAGGTAATAATAGCACAATTTATCTATCAGCTCACAAAAACGCAAACATGCTTGCCAGCTTGAACGTCGAATTTCGCTTATATCTATTTATGCAATCAGTTTACAGTGATACCTCGGTAGTCAAACAAATTCAATCAGGATTGGTTTTCTACTACAAATTTATCGAGTACAGTAACTTTCATGTTGGTCATGAAGATTGCCCTACCTGTAGTCTGTTATGACAAGTTGTGTACCTATGCTACTTCGTTTTGGCCAGCATGACTGTTGTTTAATGGTGTTTGTAGAGCTAAGATCTGAAGCCCTACCCGGCCCGAGCCTGAAATGTCAATCATTACGTTCGGGTCAGGTCGGGCTTCTATATTGCTGACTTTTTTTTAAATTGAGGCATTTGGGCCGTGTGCAAAAAAACAAGTTGCCTCATTAACACGACACATACAGTACTACTCTTGCAATGACAAATCAATGAACTCCTAAATAAATATGAAATTTCGGGTTTGCTTCGGGCTCGGGCCTGCAAATCTGGTTAATTAGTCGGGCTCGGGTCGGGTTTAAAACCCACGGGCCTGGGTCGGGCAGGGCTGAAATTTTTTGGGCACAATCTTCTAGGTGTTTAAGCAATGAGTTTCGTTTGAATACCCCAGCATTTTTGACTAGAATTCATTGAGTATCAAGTGGTTCAACTGTATCACCGTATTTAATTAAGTGTCCTAATTCTGATTCTATTATTAATATTTGCAGAGCACGGCGTCGAAGGGCAAGAAGATATGGAAGACTAGTTACACCTGGTCGAGAAAATATGGAAATGGAACATTTAGCATCAGACGAAGATGAAGATGTAACTGTATTTGATGCAAGACAAAGTCTTATGCAATAAACTCATTTTCAGAAGAAAGGTAGTTAAAAACGGATGTATGATAAGCATAGGCTAGCATCATGAATTGCCTCATTACATCCATTTTTTCCCTAATTGCAAATCTACCTATTCTCAAAATGGATGATGTTTACATGAATCACGCCATCATAAAATTGCGTTATTTTACATGTGTAATATATAATAATGCATATTTAAATAAGATCTCAACCGCTCCAGTGAAATACGATACTAATATTGCTTTTTCATCAAGAACAGAGAAAGTGGTGTAATTCTGTACAGATTCCCATATCATATAGTACATGGATTATTATCTATATTGAATAGCATCATGCTAAGAATATTAGTCCTAATCAACTGATCTCCCTGCGCTAGTTTGCAGGATTTCTGGACATCTTGCGCAGATTGTCTGTCGATAATTGTCTATGGCGATTGGTTTGCATTTTTCTCACATATATTGTATTTGAATCTTTTATGTAATTTTTTGATGAAGTTACTGAAATTGAAGAGCGGGACTGAAATGCAAGTAACATGGGGCATGGGGGCAAATGTATTATTTCAGTGTGAATGTTTTGCCAAATCTTGCCATTTTACAAAATGCTGTATGTTTAAGATATTAAGTGTTTGAGTATATTAAATGACTATTCAGAGTTCCATGTAGCAATTTGCAGTAAATTGAAGGTTTGAGAAAACACCCTGCCACATTTTGAAATAAGTTAGTAATTATCCAGTTTGGGTTCGGGTTAGGAGGAATGATAGCACTCAACCTAACTGGATAATTAGAATTTTTTCATTTTAGCGTTTTTTTTTGGTGAGAGCTTTGTATAAAAGAAGATTCAAAAACTTCTATAACAGTATTGTAACTTATTTTCCTTCTAGACATGAGAAAATGAGTGACGCCCACTTCAATTTGAGTATTAAGATTTAATATAGGCCCAGTGCGGTCTGTTATTTTCTCCTGCTATCTGCCTATGTATGTTCAAGGTATATCTGTTCCATGTGTATTTATGTTTTATTTTACAACTTTTTATTTGTCAATACATATTGTGCAATTTCAAGAAATACTTCTGATTATGTGTAGAGATGTCCTATTCAATGAAAAAGTTGGATTGGTATTTACAGTTGAAGTTTTGCCATTGTATGTGATTGTCCGATTATAATAATATATTAGCGCCTCCACCCTCGGTTACAACTCAATGTCGGGTATGGGATTAGTTAGCTAGTGATTTCTTTCAAATTCATGAGCTTGGTGGTGGAGGAAGATGTAACCGAACCGACCAGCGGTTAGGTGAACTACCCTAAGGCGGCAAGGAGTTCAGCAAGCCTCTCGCACCCAATTATCTCCCACGGGATGCGAACCCGCGCGTTGTAATCGGAGGCGCGTGCGGTGGCTAGCGTATTCCTAACGCCTAGCACACATTGCCGAGCAATCCCTGTAGCGATATTTGGAAATTCACTGGAGTGATAGATCGAGGTCTCTGCAATTTAGGGAATTAAAATGGTCATTTCGTGCTCATGGTTGCTTTTAATATTATTCTGCCAGCCCAGCGGTTCCCAAACTTTTTGTTACTGCGGCGCCAAATATCAGGGAAAAATCACACGGCGCACTTAAACACGAATAAGAGACGCAAGGTAACAGAAAACAAACTACATAGAAAGGCAAAGTGAAATTATTGATTCATGTACAGTGCCAGAGATCACCAACCCGTTGCCCGCGGGCACCAAGTCGCCCGTGAAGACCGCGTGAGTCGCCCGCAGGTCTGTTCCAAAATAAGCTTAATAACGGCGCTTATAAGTAAGCCACATCAATTAATTTTTGTCATCTTATTCTTCTATAAATCACACTTATGTTTTATTTGGGAACTGGGAATAACACTATGTTAATTATTATGGTAACGATCATTCTAACTTTTTTTGATCTCAGTAATGTGAAGGGTCATTTAATACTCTCCCAATTATGACATCACACTGATGTCATCTTCCACGAACTCGCGTTTTTTCGTGTCCGTTGATTTGTGAATCAACAATGCCAATAATACAATTATTGATTTCAAAGAAAAATGGCAGAAAAACGAAAGAAAACCTACCATTTTTTCGGTGAATGGAAGGTGGATTTCCTTTTACCACCGTGAAAACAGCTTGCGTATCTCTCATTTGCGGGGAGTTTACAGAGACGACAAAGCGAAGCGACATTTCACATCTTGTCACTATCCATTGATCAGCGCAGTACGGGCAGCAAAAGCTCGCCTTTTAATTCAAACAGCAATTCTATGTTACGAGATCGGTGTTTGGTTCAAGCCATCTTTGTGAATCAACATTTTTTGACATGAACTTCACAAGGAACTAAGCGCGGAATACGCCTTACTGAGGAAAATCTGCAAGACCCGCTCAACGTTACAGTGTCAAGTTACACGCCTGAGTACAACACACTGGCGGAGAGCATTAGACCAGATTTGTTCGATTTTGGTTTTCTCCTTGTTGATATTCATAATTAGTTGAATGTGTTTGTAAATGTAACATTCGGCAGTACAACTGTTAAGATCATTTCATCTTAGGGTTATGCAGGGTGTTTGTAAAAAAGTAGGTACATTGTGAACCTTTGGTTTCCGAAGATATTATTGCAGTGATCGATTTAAAATCAATTTGAAAAACACTCAGTTTGAAAATGGAAGTGTCATTGTTAGTAATTTATTCGCTACGTTGTGATAATCGTTTGATTTCCGGAAGAATCCTAAAGTTTATCAGTGTTTTTACTTGACTAAATGCCAGTAATTATCAATATTTGAAGGTTATTCGAGCAAATTGACTTTTTTTTAAAAGTGTGCATTGAACTGGTAGCTCTCGGCTTAATCGGAACCCACAAAGTAGCCCTCCGCTACGAAAAGGTTGGTGGCCCCTGGTAGGCTACACAATCAATAAACATCAATTTGGATTCCAAAAGTATATTCATGCGATCATCGACTCGGTTGAATACATCTATGGTAATTTTTGATTCCCCTCCCCCTTCTGTACATTAGTGATATATATTTCTAATCGCTCTATATATTGACCAAACTATTCGCCGATGACACAGGCCTTCTCGGCAGCTCGAAATTCATGTTAACCCTGAAAAACACGTAAATATTGAAATGAAGAAAGTATTCGAATGGATCATTCGTAACAAGTTGACTATCAATGTATTGAGTCTAGGATTGTTCAAATAAGGCCCAGCACAAAGCCGCAGGCGACGCCAATTTTTATCACCATCAATGGGATTAAGCTACAATCTGTCCTTTCCCACAAATATCTGGGACTAAATACGGACAATCGCTTACGTCGGGATGTATACTCGGAACGAGCTTTCTCGTTTGGTAGGTATATTGATTAAACTTCAACATTACATTGATAAAACCACTCCTATAGGATAGTGGTATATAAATATTTTTCACTCTTGCAATCTTATATCAAATACGCAATTGCAGCATGGGGACCCGTTCGTCATTCAAATTTGAATAGAATCAAAGAGTTACAGAATGAGTTTTATTGTTCTCGCTGCAATATTTGTTTATAATTTAGAATCCGTGAAATTGTCTGGAGCAAATTGTTACCTGCTCTTTTTATTTATAAGTTATTTGAAATATATTAAAGTTGTCCTCCTTTATTGCGTAATCAAGTATACTGTGCCTTGTCAAGTCATTTCATTGTAAGTTTAACTGTGATTTATACGCATTTCGATAGACTGTGATGTGTTTAATTAAGGCTTGCGATATTTTACTTTGCAGTTTACACACTTCATTGAAACACTTCACTGAGATTTATTGGATTTTATTCTGTCATTCGAGCACAATTCAAGTAAAATTTCACAGTTTCGAAGCTGCGTTTTCTTATAATGAGAAGAACATTGTGTTGAACAGTTTTGAGATTTCAGTGAGTGAGTTAAACTGTCGTGTACCACTTGTCCCACTTGTTCCCAGGTTGTAAAAATGGGTGTATAGGTGAACTACACCTGATTGAATTAAAGTATTGTTAATTTGAATGGCGATACAGGCATTGAGATATCGCTTTTGTCGCCGATACCGATCTGATATCCAAATGCCGATATGGCCGGTATTCCGATAACATCTAATTATCATTTGGATTTTAAGAGATTGACAGGATAAAATAGTTGTCTAATTGGGATACGTAAGACAAAAGGGACAAGTGAGAAAAGTGGGACACGATATTTTTGAGACGACCTCATTAACCACACACGGCGAACGATTAAAATGAACAACACATGAATTAAACTTGACGTTGTAGCTCGCAACAACGGCCGTAGTAATGGTACATAACAAAAACACCATTCTGCAGCTTGCGAATATTTATAAGGTCTTTCAGCCAATGCACAAATATCACAATAATTGTATACATATACACTGCATTTAATTGCTATTTTATCGAACAAAGTAATATACGCTCATATAACACAAGATCAGTTTACACACACTCTTTCTTTTTGCGTTGTTTATCACATTCCAAAACTCATAATTAGATAGAGATACAAGAGGGTTACATGTGGAACAATATATATCAAGTGAGTTGAAAAAAGCGTGCCTCACAAGCTATTTAAAGCAGAGTTGAAAAAACATTTATTGTCATATTATATAGCCCACTAGAGATCGAGAATTGTGTGACTGCCCACCAGCCACAGCAATTTTTCAAAGATCATGTGGATCAGAAGGATGTGGCCTTTTTGGGTTGATACATTTACTTTTTCCACATTGTTTATATCTGGATTACTAAATGTTGTTTTCCATATATATATATTCCTATTTTGTATTCATCACTCATCAGATTGATTTTCTTACCTGTTGCCATCTCAAAATCTTTTTAGTGTTTCCAGAGCTTTATGTATTGCATTCCTAAAACCCAATGTAAGAGTTATATCGTCAGCATATCCATTTGTTTTGGTATTGATATTCCTTAGATTTTTTCAACAGAGTTAATTTGTCATCGGTTCTACCGCTATTAAAATATGTATATGCTGAGTGTGACTCTTTGGCTTAGTCCTCGTTCTGTTAGTTGTACTGTTTCACGAAGATATTCATTCATTATTATTTGAAATTCTGCGAAATTGTATACAATTTTGATTTTCTGTGTCACAAACTGCAATATTTCTGTCTGTTGGCGATTTGGTAAAAACCAGAACATCACAACTAGTGAGTCTAAAATAGTCTAATGAGGTCTTATTAATATAGTAGACATTTGTATATATAATATGGTGAAAAAGCAAAAAAAAAACTGGAAATAACTTTGTGATATTGTTAAATCCAATTTCTTGGCGGCACAATTTGGCTTCTATTGCCATGTATCCTAGCAGACTTCCTTCGAACAAAAACATAGGTCGCATTCCAATCGAAGAGATTCACGTCCTCCGATATGGGATATGTAATGTTTTTGTTTAATAACATCCGACATGATTTGAGGTGAGCTATCGCTCACTATATGACAAATCATTTTATGCTATCATATTATAAATTATTTAAACTGTATAAAAGCGGCAGTGCGACTTGCGCATAACGCTAGCTAAGGATCCACCAAAGATTGAAAAAACAAGAGAGAATGCTCAAATATATGGGCACGAAAACCCAAACCAAATGGTGCAATATGCTATCTGTCATAGTATGGACTACCGCCACAAGGCACACAAAAAAACGAATCAGATAGATAGAGCCCACATTTTTGAAATAAAGAAAAGTAGTAACCTTCTATAGCGAAAACTACAATTGTCACGGTCGAAGATGTTGCTACCGTGGTTGTAGATGAATCAGAAGACTCAAGGATTCCGGATTGGTTGTTTATTGAACTCTAATATCAAATTTGAAACAGCATAACAGAATAACATTACTAAAGAACTCAAAACACGACCTGCCGCCAGTGCAGCGACCAGAGAAGAGAGAGCGAAAGACAGTTTTTCTCTCATGTGTAGTGGTCGGCGTCCCAATCCGACAAAACAGCATTAAACAAGGGTCAACATAACTGTTTATAAACATAAAAGTATACATATACACACAATATAAACACGGACACTTTAGTAGTCCGCGACACAATCTTTAACCATTAAAAACCTAAAAACAATTGTTAATGAGAAAAGCAATTTTTCATAACAAGGAAATGAACAAGAACAACAACATAATAATAACAAAGCGATCCATATGTACATTTCGTGTCTAATAAAGTAGTTTTATACATAGGGAGATGGGCAAAGAGAAGAATCTAACAAAAAAAGGGTTGGGACCTCTAGAATAATCACGCCACTGGCCTGCATCTGATACATAAAATATGGATTTGTAATTTGGACACACAAATTTCGAAAAATTACCCAAATATTGAATATTTATGCGATGAATTTCTCTGAGCACCAATCATAACGATTTGAACCCCGCGCATCAATTGATTAATTGCTTTATTTATGACGAGTCGTTTTCACACGCGGCTGGGGGTAAGTAGATATAAATCCTTTTGATTTACTCTCGAAACTGGACCACGCATACACATTCTCACCGCGATAAATTTCTATTTTTCATCCATTTTAATTTATCATCGTACACGAAGTGTACACATGAATCGTTAAAGTCTCATGGGTTTGCTGTTTTACTTCAATCAAAGAGGAAACCTGTTTATTCCGTTCGTTCTTAATCTTCATTGTGGCAACAATTTGTGAATAGAATACGACTAATACGGACGATCGCGAACCATAAACCATGCGCAACATACATGGGAACTTCGTGGATCCAGAGATGGAATAGATTAATAACATGCGTGCCATCGCATCGCTTGTTATTCTGTTTTTGTTCATATAGGTGTAAATAAGTTAAAGATGAACTGGTGATCAGGAGAGAGGCTGTGGTTTGCCATACAATTATGTCGTTTTTTTTTCATTTGACTTTCTCCAAATAAAAGTTCAATCTTTTAGCCATATGACGTCATCACCTATGTGCGTCTTGTATCCATATTTGGTGTCGATTATATTTGTAAAAATTCTCAGAAAATTGCTAATATGTAACCTGAAGTTTACAGAAGAGCATGCAAAACACAGGTTTAAATACGGGTGACCCGAATTAAGTTTTACTTGTTATGTATGAAAAATTGTAAAATTTATTTGCATTATGCAGTCATTCTATTGCGATCTCGTTCAGGCCATGAGAAGAGTCATACCCAGTAAGATAGAAATTTATCTAGAATTGTCCCAGAAACCGTTGATTTTATATCGTCCCTATTTATAGCGATAAAATGGCAACTAACTTTGGAAATGAGGAATCAGTCTGTGTGAAGTTGTTGGCTTAGCAGGTTAATAACCTGCTGTTCGATTCTTTCGTACTCGGGTGAACATTTCCCAAAACAGCTTCTACAGTTGTTTGGCTACTGTGCTTGGCCTAAAGCAGCATGATCATGAATTTCTAATGTATATTCAAAAACGCCAGAAACGACTTATCATTCATCAACAGCTAATTATAATTAATATTTTCTAAATAAAATTATTGGCGCCCAATAGAACTGATCTGTTGCACGTGCACGTGCCAACCAACAATTATGCTTGGGAGCATATGTGAACTACCTAAAACGCTGTGATAATATTACTTTACATATTTCACCGCATCAACAATGGAAAGTTCTATTTCACGAGCAGTTGTTAAAGCTATAAACTTTGACAGTCAAATTGTGTTTTTGATTATTTTGTGTGGATATAAAGTGCGTCAAACAACTTTTGCCACCGTATGTAAACAAATGTAGCACCAACTTGAGACCTTAACATCTACCGACATAACGATGGTAAATCATACTGATTTCGCCCACATTTTATAATCAACATAAGAGAGAGAGAGAGAAACATGTGAGAAGGTAAGACAGGCAAACAAGAGTTACCATTTTGTTTATGACAAATACACATCGCGGAGAGTTTGTACTTGGAGTAAACAGATTTTAAGGCTTATTCTATTTTATGTGCATAACAAGATTATGGCGAGCTGGAAGTTGAGTAATATTTGGCGACGTTGGCGGTTAACCAAAAATGAAATCATAATTACAATATTATTGTTGAAAGCGATAGACCTCTTTGAAAATATTATGCGTCTGGCGGCATAAGATTACATTCAGGTATTTTGTCTATTCCTTCTCTATTTATCTTCCGATAACCTAGCAAGCTGTGGTCAGTACATTATATAAGTAACCAAGCTATAACAATTCAATAGAAATTGTAACATAATCAGAGACAACACATCAGAGCAAAATGTAGAAGTGGAAAATTGAATTCAAGTCAAATTTGTGAAATTGTGATGCATGAGGGTAAGAACTATACTCAAAGTACCAAGTGAGTTGAAATACAAGGCAATGAGGACTGTAAAATGAATAAAAAAGATAAAACGATTCACTTGAATTGTAACACATTCATTTTATCAATCCACTGCTGTGATGCACCTTATACCTTAGAGCAGCGTTTTCCAACCTTTTTTGGTCGCGGACTATTTTCTCACCGGCGAAAATCTTTGCGGACTCAACGTGCGTTTATTGCAGCCGTACTCTGCGTGAAGAAGTAATAAGACCAAACACAACAGAATTTTAACGAATTTCAAAATCGGAAATTAGCCTCAATTACGCGTTTGTTAAAAGAGTCGACTTTTCAGCGTATAAATGGCCTTTTCTGTCTCACAATATTCAATTCATGACAACGACGAGAATTTAAAATGTCTTTCTATTTTAATTTGATTGTGTTCGTAGTCACTCGCGGTTGCGTCGACTTATGACAAAATGAAAGCATTTCTTCTTTAAAATGCCACGGCAAGGTAGCACCCGAATTTGCAATGTATTAAAACGCGTTTTTAATCGGCCGCGGGCCATCATAAAACAAAACCTATGATGTTCTCCGTTCTTCTTTTTTCTAGTATTTGGTATTGCGCTTTCAAATTTAGAAAATTTATGTCGCCACCATTGACAACAAGCAAGTGAGTTGTGAAATCCAATCGTTGATTAAGCGACGCGCAAGTGACCTGTTGCGTCACCTGTTACCAAATTTTCGAATAGTAAATTGCTATTCTAATAGTTGAATATTCGAATATATGCCCAGCCCTACTCAGTATCCAGTAATTATTGACTCGATTAATGTTATGTGAATAAACTTGATTTTCATGTCTTATGTAAATTCTAACGTAAATCGTAACTTGGCTGATGGTTAAATTTCACAAAAACGTTTGCGGCCCTTAGTGAATTTCTGACTCGTTGCGGACTCATTCAGACGCTGGGCGGGCTCATTTGAGACCGCGGACTTGGGTTGGGAAACACTGCCTTAGAGCTTAGACTATGTAAGCCATTTTCTGTTTTGTTTTATATCATGGATATGTTACGAGAACGGAAAAGAACAAACCTGAAAAATGAATGAAGATATGTTTATCAACGAACTGTTTTTTATTTTAGAAATTTTGGCATTATTATTGCTTTTTCGTTATTGCTCGAGTTATCAACTTATATGTATCTATATGAAATTTTTTTTCGAACAATATTCTGATACGATGTTAACAGAATAGATACACTGTTTTAAAGAGTATACATTATATGCTTTTGTTTTCTATTTCCCAACATATATAAATATTTTTATCTGTTTATTGCCCTTAGGGTTAAACTAAACGGATTTTAAAATCTGTTTAATAATTATTGACGTTGTTTTGAAGTTATTATTCTCATACGGAGCTGAAAGTAAAGTCGCAAATAACTTCCTGACTGCATAAAGTTCCGTGGCTATACCATAGAATAGATTGAAAAATGTTTCAAATACTAATTCTGTGGCTGAACGTTACCTTTATAGTCAGATCTCACTTACTGCATTCAGCACTAGAGATTTAGGATTATAAGAAATCAATCATGATCACGGAGTTTCGTTTTCACGATTGAAATAAGTTTATTTATGAAAAACATTTCAGATAATAAAAATGCCCATTTCTTATGCTTTGAGTAAAAGCGATTCTCATATACCTTATTTGGGTGATCATAAAATAAACATATCGAAAAATGGTGACGATCGACCTTCGGAAAACTGCAACGGAAATTCGTGTGATAACCAAAATAATAATATGAGTGAGATTACACGGATAGAAAGTAGCGAGTACGGCAGTGCGACATTATGTACAAAGACTGAACTATCAAAACAGCAAAAAATGGAGGCCTGTTGCAAATCTATATTCTCGATAAATTCAATGAAAAAATTTTTGCCTATTACATATTGGCTTCCAAGGTAAGTTTGTGAGGTTTCTAAATAGAGTGAAACATGCATGTGAACACACGCCTACAATCCTCGGTATATTGTAGAAATTAAAACCAGTTATGTTCAAAATTTGCACAAAATTTGTTTTTGCTTTTGAACAAAAATGTGCAATCGCACAAAACTAAAAATACAGTTAGCGTCTTTTTGTATTAGAAAGTAAACTTGCATTATCTAAATTTAAGTTCAGGCTTTGTATTATATTTGTAATATATATATTTAGTACATTGGTGCAACGGGGCTCCTATGTGAGAAGATATAAATCCGTTTTCTGACTTTACCACAGTAGTATAGTCGCCAACCTTTTCAGTATCCGAATTTATCACCTGGTCATCGGGATTTTTTCATGTATAACAGATACAATTTGAGATGTTTACGATCCGACATTATTGCGGGACTTGCCGTTGGACTCACTGTCATTCCACAAGGACTTGCCTATGCAGCTGTAGCCGGACTCGAACTTCAGGTATTTGATACATATGTTTTATTTTCAAAGTTTTGCAGGTTTTGATAAAACTAATCTTAGTACTTTAGTCAATGAACGTATATTTTCACACCTTTCGTTTAAGCGAAGTTTGTAACGTTATCAAATGAGACAAAACAGCGGTTAGGACCAGGATGTCCACTGGGTCTCTTTATAATTTAAAAAAATATTACAATGTGAAATGATGAGATATCGCAATGATGGTTGTTTTACGTTAATCAGTATTTGATAAAGTTTTTAATGACACATTTAATACACTTCTAAACGTTTATTTAAAAATATCATTACTCTATTCAATACACTTCTACATGGACACCATTAGTTGCACAAACTACATCTAGTGTCAGACGATACTCAATTTACTGTCATGTTTTTTGTAGCATAGCCTCATCAATAGTTGCAATGACATTGGAAATTCTTTGTTTTAGGTTAGTCATGTCCCGTACTTTTGTTCGATACACAAAATCTTTGACGTAACCCCAAAGAAAGAAGTTCAGGGGAGTAATGTCTGGTGAGCGCGGTGGCCATGGAATCGGCCCATCCCTTCCAATCCATCGGTCGGGAAAAGTTTAATTGAGGAACTCACGAACATGCAATCCCCAGTATGGTGATGCACCATCTTGCTCAAACATGATGGTTGATTGAAAGTCAATCAGTTGTGGTGCCACATATTCGGTCAGAAGGTTTAGATAAAAACATTTGCAGTAATTGATGCCTCGTTGAAGAAAAATGACCCAATTATTCGATTGCACATGAATCCACACTAAACATTCACTTTTGGACTATCTCGCTGAAGTTCTCTACTCGCATGGGGGTTTTCCGATTCTCAAATTCTTCCATTATGTTTGTTTAATTCTCCTGAGACATGAAAGGTTGCGTCATCACTGAAACAGACTCGGTCGAGGAATGCTTCATCCTTGGAAATTCGTTGCAGCGTGTCACTGCAAATTCTTTTCGTCTTGGCATGTCGTTTGGCTGAAGTGCATGTAACATTTGCACTTTGTAAGCATGCAATCTTAAATTCTTGTGTAGGACTTTGTGCATTGTTCGACGTGGTAGTTCCAATAGTCTAGCAACGGTACGGATGGAACTCATAGGAGAACGTTAAAAGGGTTGCCTTACACGCTCAATGTTTTCTTCGGATGTTATTGTTCGCCCACTCCCCCTTGTATCGAACACTGTCCCTGTCTCCATATATTTCTTGTGGCATGGACGAATTGGAGGACCTGATGGTGGGTCTTTTTCATACTTCCGCCTGTGATTTCGCTGGGTATGAACATATGATTTTGTCTCAATTAACCAAGATACACATTGAGCTTTTCTTGGGGAGTAGTCATTTTATGGGGGTTCATTTATATAATTCAATCATTAAACATAGGAAATTTTGTCCGAAACAATAAATTTTAGAGTCAATAAAAACTTTATGAAATACCGATAAACATAAAACAATTCGCATTGCGATATCTCATCATTTTACTTTGTAATAATTATTTTAAATTGTAAAGAGACTTTGTGGACACCCTATATGTTACTGAGAGATTATATATATTGAATTATAGATATATATATAAAATGTATATTTCTGAGTAAATATGTCAATCTTATGCTAGAATGTTATTACATTTGTTCGTAAATAAAGTATATATAAACAAAACAGGAACATGACATAATTCCAATATATATAGTGAAAAACACAGCAATTTGACTTGCTTCTACAAGTAATTAAGTCCATTTAGGGTAGTTAGCGGGCTGACGTATTCACACTAAAATACCTCGAAAATTCGGGAGAAATAATAGATTTGGAGCCACGTTTCTTCTCTAGGTTGTATGTAATGGCTCATCAACTGCCTCATTAAGAATAAAGATATGTTCAGAAATATAATATAAAAGTGAAGCTGTTTCAGTGTGAATCTGGCAAAATGTCCTGCTATTGTCGTGTACTTGACAATTTCGTGAATCTTGATTACAAATGCGCCTATTGCTAAATCTCATATTACTAGTAATTGCCAACTATCCGAATCAGTAATACAAATCCTAATGCTCACTATATTTACAAAAATTTTCACAAGAGTTGAACTTCACATGGCAAGTAATTTGTACGGAAAGGTATAGTTCTCTTCTATAATTAAGGACAACGTTGATGCGTTATATGTAATCGAAAATTTAAACTTTTTCAACAGTACGGACTTTACAGTGCATTTATGGGATGCTTCATATACTGCCTATTTGGAACCTCAAAAGATATAACACTTGGTCCCACTGCCATAATGTCTATTCTTGTTGCCGAATATGCCCGAGATCCATGGAAAGAGATAGATGATGGAGATGAAACGGTAAATTTTTTAATAGAAAGTATGTAGCAGCTTTTTTTATGTAGCCTGACAACTACAGGTGTCACATAAAAGAGAGTTCCGGAATATTTGGTTGTTTTTGATAAAATATTCAAAAACGCACAGCTTTCGGCGCGTTCAATGACACAAATATCATGTAATGTCGTACATCAGCCAAATGTCAGCCTTTCAGTTCAGCCGGAGTGAAACCCAAACCGATTAAGTCAATTGCTTAAAATTCTACAATGCAAGTAGGAAACGTCAGTTGACTGTTTCTTACGATACGAGCCCTGACTAACGGGCTTTTGGCCTTACAATAGGACATTAAAACACAGCTAACATGTCATATAAAGCAGTGTGGCTTATGTGAATGCCAAAAACCTCACTTTGAGAGCAAGTCATTTGAAAGTTATCGGTTAACATATCTGGGTCTCTAAAAGATAACTCTCACTACATTTTTTAGAGAATTGTCACATGGTAGACAATATCAATTTTTGAACTCACAAAGAGTATCAAATGGCCTCGGGTCGTGCTTCGTTACATACATTTGTTCATTGAGTTTTCAATTTTGTCAGAGCAACGTCACACTTGCTATCCTTCTGACCTTTACGTGTGGAATAATCCAAGTACTGATGAGTATATTTCGATTGGGATTCCTGGTTCATTTTATTTCTCATCCGGTTATTGCAGGGTTCACCTCAGCTGCTTCGGTAGTCATCGCATGTAGTCAAATAAAGGTAAACTTCAAATTTTACTTTCGCGATATTTAACCCGAGTTCATCTGAATGCTTTTTAGTTCGCCAACGTTATAGTTTACTTTGAAACTGAAACTAAAACGGTGTTACATTTTGGTACTTTTTTTTCATATATATGCTATATATATATATACTGTTTATTATGGATTAGCCCTGAACATTATTATAGATATGTGCCCACTCTGACGTTAATAGATATTGTCAACCCGCCATTGAGGGGCTTGCAATAACACATTATCAGCAGATTTCCACATCGCCATAAGCCACAATTTGGCGTCAAGCTACGAAATGTACAACTTTGATATGTTTCAATGTTTTTGTCTTTCTCATCTTCATTCCTGAAAAATATTTAAATGCCTTCGTGGTGATATCTTAATTCGTTGCTATCATTTCCGCTCAATTTTTCATTAACACATATTATTTGTTTTCAAGAAAATCCTTGGAATTCACGCCTCGAGCGAATTCTTTCACATGTGGGCAGATATTGTTCACAACATTGAAGACACAAAGTAAGTTATGAGAGTGAATAAACAGAAATTTAGCATATATATCAAAAATTCCCTTGATTGTGACGTGTTAGGAATTGATTTGTTGAAGCGTTGATATTACATCACATTCTAATTGTAGTTATCGCAGATAGTCATGTCTAATGATTAAAAAAATTAAAATTAAATCACCTAGGATTTGCGACCTATTGACCTATTGCGTCTTTTCTTGGATACCACAAATAAAAATAGATTTACAGTAGGTTTCATAATGATTGCAGCAATCCTCAGTTTTGCAAATGACAAATTCTGATTGTCTGTTTGAATCAGCAAAGTTATAGGTATAGATATAGGAAATATCAAAGGACCGTTGAAATCAACATTTTTCGTTGTTAAACTATATTATTCCACCCATCAGGAGTGGACAATTATTTTGGCTTAGGGGTCATATCGTCTCACAAAAGCAGCGGACGTACGCGTTGTAAAATTGTTGTTGTTAGTATTCTTCTTTTTCTTTCTCTTCTTGTTCATCTTTTTTTTCTCATCAACTACTGACCAATTACTTGAGATTTTTAGAATATTCAGTGGTTAAAGATTGTTGTTGTCGCTATAAAGCCGTTACTTTTATTTCTTCGTAAATTCTTATGAGATCTGGTCCATCATCCAAACTTCCGTTTTTTTTTTCATGGGCATACCGTTTTTATTCCGCCAAGCGTGGCGGCCTACGTTGAAGCTGTCCTTCGTTTTGATTTCGCGAACTCATTGCTCAGACACATCTCCTTTTATTACGTACGTTGACTTCTGTTACGTTGTTCTGTTTACCTACTGTAAAAGATTTGATACTACAGTCGTGACTCTAATCATTTGATATTTCGATTCACGTTGAGACCAAACGCATGAATCATCATCGCCACAGTACCTGCGAAGCTAGGAGAGTTCGGGTACCGGTACTGGTAAGTTACGGTACGGTAGCTGTTCCACATTTCTTCCAGAACATGATATTTTGTTTTAGCCATCGTGTAGTATCTAAGAGTATTGTCCTCTTGTTTACCTCATATATACGATTACATCGCGATAGCAATGTAATTAAAATATGTATCGAAATATATTCAAAATAGGTTTACTTTTTTATTATAACAAAGAGTTTGGGACGTGACCATGGGTGTGAGCTGCATGCTTTTTCTTTTCATCTTAAAGAAGTCAAAGGAAAAATGGGGAACACTGAGCGATGGTGATAAAGACACATCCATCGTCAGGACCATGGTTTCCAAAATTCTGTGGTTCATGGGAACAGGTTAGAGTAAGACTGCCTTTCAAATTCGTTGTTACTACTCATATTGAAAAATTATGATCAGCCGAGTAAACTCTTGCGATGAGTAGCAACAGACTGTACCACATGTCTCAACAAAAAAATTGCGACATACCAATAGCATTTTTACTAATTGATCATACCGTCGTGTGCTATTCATTCTACCCATAACTCTGCACAAACTCTCAGCAATAATACTCAAAATACCACTTGTTTCCACTTTGTATAAAATTTTTTACAAATCTTCCATGTCCGAAAATATTGTAACATTCAGTGATGTATGCATTGAACGACTTAACAATATTCATGCATTGTACATACATAATAATAGTACCCTTAGACCTTTCTTCGATTTTCTTTAACCTAAATGCCAAATTTATCGCAGCAAGGAACGCCATTGTAGTGGTTTTGTGCAGTGGAATAGCCTACGGAATAACAGATTTGTCTCTTTCTGTTGACGAAAGACCCATCACATTAACGCCGAATGTAACAGGAGGTTTACCAGACTTCAAGATTCCAAATTTCTCAGAGCCCATTCCGGGGACCAATGAAACTGCTTCATTTCTGGCATTGTTGTCACATTTGGGAAGTGGGCTGGCGGTAATTCCGCTAATGGGGATATTAGAGAGTATTGCAATTTCACAGGCGTTCGGTGAGTTTTTAGATGATATCATTGTAGCGTATTCAAGTGAAAAAATATACTAGATGGTCTAATACCGATATCGCCACTGTACACAAGTAAACGAGTGCACAGTACTGACAGATGCAAATTTGATACCGCCAACAATCAAGACAACCACTATGATAAGCTATCAAATTGTAACGTCCCACATCCTTATGTTGAAATAATTTATATCTATACAGCACGCAAAAACTGTTACAGAGTTAGACCTACACAAGAACTATTGGCAATTGGAATTTCCAACTTTGTTGGAGCGTTTGTTGGATCTTATCCAATAACTGGAAGTTTTTCTAGGTAAGTTTGTTTCAGCAACACTTATGTTACTGACCACATAGGATAAATAGGTTTCGAGTCTTCCGGGCATATTGATTGTATCTATATTGGATATATAGATGGATGTCGATATTGCCAATATTTGAAAATGAAAATATGCATAAACGAATGTAAACAACCTCTTGACAGAGATATTTTGTTCCAAGAAAAACTCTCCTCTGCAAGTACAAATGGACCCCGGATAAAGAATTTTGCGTTAGGGTCATAACACACATAGTCGTAAATTTATGCACATAAGTCGTAAATATATATGTACACACTTTAACAAGCCAAGCACGAATATTAGTTTTCTTCAAAGTATTAATTTAGGGCTAATTTTTTGGCGAGTAAGTTTCATTCTTTCAAAAATATAAACGGGTGGCAAACTTAAAACACCTGTGTTTTATATTGTACATTAGTTTCATTGGCTTAGTTCCAAAAAAGTCTACAATATTATGAACTCTTTTCATTCTTTGTTATTCATGACTTACTGCATGGTTTTTAACAAGAGTCATGTAATATTATTTTCTAGGACAGCCGTCAACTCTCAAAGTCACGTAGCAACCCCCCTCGGAGGATTATTTACCGGAATTATAGTCGTTGTTTCTTTACAATTTATTACCGAAACTTTCCAATTCATTCCATCGTCAACATTAGGTGCTGTTATCATCATGGCCGTCGTTAACATGTTCGATTTAGATACAATTACATTAATTTGGAAAGTCCATAGTAAGTTGTCTTCGAAACCTAAATAAGTAATTATTAGGGTTTAATTGTGTCGAACTAGTTATATTGTTATGGTTGTGGTGAACATTTTAATTAAACATATAGATAAAATTTCCATTTAAGTATATTCACGATAATAGTTCTTCAACTCCTATTCTAAGTAAATCTTTCAATGACTATAATTCGAACATTCGATTTTGTATATTTTCATGATCATATCCATATAGTTTGTAAAAGAAAGTTGCTTTTAGAAATCGATCTCCTGCCGCTTTCTGTCACATTTTTCTTATGTTTCTGGGATCTGGCTTACGGAATAATATGTGGAATTGGTATTTCATTGTTGATATTGTTAGCATCACACGCTCGGTAAAAGCATACTTATTTGTATTCATCTTTATCATTATAGAAGTCAATAAATTTTCATCAATCTGGTTTCACCTATTTCATACCACAGCAAATCGTTATTTGGACTTTTGCTGTTAACACAATTGATTTCTTTGCTGAAATCATTGGTAATAGTGTTAAATGGTATGTTGCTTAAGTTGACGACAAAATGTAAATGCGAGGATGGAAAACCAATTAAAAAATCATACTTAAGCTAAATTCAGTAATAAAAAGCAAGAGATCACTCATATATATAAATAATGCTGCACCCTTTTATCGGAGAAATATTATAATCTCTTATATATATGCTACCTAGGCCCCGAGTTCTAGTTGAGAAAGTTGACAATACCTTGATATTAAAAATACGCAATGGATTGGACTTCCCAGCTTCTGATTATTTGGAAAATCAAGTTCAAAATCATGCAGAAGACAGTAAGTGCATCAATAATTCTTTATATTTATGTCCGTATTCTATCCTTTTCTTCCACACAAACATTCGCCTAGAATTAGATAGGTGTTACCAAATGTTTGAGTTTCTCTAAGAACATGTCCATCACCATTTCATTGGTCCACAACAGCAGTGCATCAATGCCCATAAACTTATTATACCTCCGCCTATAGTCTACACACTGTAAAACAGTTAACGAAAGCTTTTTTCCAGAAAACTGTGATCGGGTTGTTCTTGATTGCAAGAACATAACAACACTGGATTTCAGTGCAATAGAGTCGATTTATCATTGTGCAGAAAAATTTCAGAAGAACGGTGTTGTCTTCGTTATAAGTGCTTTAAAGGTATATTTTCTTTTTTACATGGTTCATTTACTGATGTGTTGTGGGTTTTGAAATCAAAATTTCCTGCCTAATGAAGGTTGCGTTTTCAAAATTGTACCGCCATGTCGCATTATTTCAGCTACTGAAGTAATTGACGCGAACTGACGAAATAGAGCATAGGTTTTTGAAGTTCTCCATCCGGAACCCCAGGGCTTCATTAGAGAAAACTAGGGTCTCCGCAAGCTATTCGTTTGCTTATTAACATACTGACTTGGCTAAATTTGTAACTATCCAAAGAAGCAAAAACGACTTTCATAAAATTCGATAACGGTAGCGCTTACAATGCGGTAATTTAGATATGACATTATATATAAGTTATCAGCAATTTTTGAGCAAGTGGGTTTTTCTCATTACAGTCCTCGTCGTCCTAGCTTTATTATTGAGTACGAGGTTGAAGATGATACCGCTTCTCAGCGTTAATCAATAATTATTTGGGTTTCACATATAATATTTATTCCTTTTACCACGTATTTAATCACATTACCAACTTTCTTCAGCCATATTTACGTGGGAGGTTACACAGGAGAGGAATTTTGTCAACAGGCGTGAAACTTGTTCAATGTACAAAAGAAGTTTTTAGTGGCGCAAAGACAGATAGCAGTACAAAACGGGAAAATCTTCAATTGGATTTGTAACTGAACCGATGTCCAAACTATTGGTTATATATATTATATTAAATAGAGACCGAGCTGATATTGTGTTAATGCACAGAACATCTCATAATTCGAAAGAGATGGGATTCATTTTGAATCATCCACATATGGTTGAAAATCGAATGTTTAGAATTATGTTTGTTAAGTATATAGTTGAAGACAAACATTATATAAGAATATTTTTTCAAATCATCGTAAAATTGTGTTTATTTGAATATTATAATGAATTGATAGTATTGAGTTTCGTCTGCATATCCTCTCCTTCAATCAAGGAACCTCCAACAAAAGAGATTCATTCCATTATTTCACGTGATTCAGTTACAATAGACTACGAACAGAAAAATATGCCATCGATATCTGGCTAAACGTGAAGACTTTGAATATTCGTTTGATTGGCATATCAATCGAATTATTTGTTTTTGCTTCTCCCCCTCAAATAGCGCAGCACTAAACACGAAAAAGTGAAAAATAAGTCAACAAAGCACAGAAACAAGTCTCAAAGTTTTTGTTTGTTGTACGGTAGTTTGATAGACCAGAACACCCAAGATTTCTGATCGGTTCTTTATTGTCAGCAGCAACTTGCAAAAGCAACGAACACAAGAAAAGAGCACCTGACCACAGTCCCCAGCGGACGAAGAAAATAGTGAAATATATTTTCCTTGCACATGGTGTGTGATCGGAGTCTCATCATGCGAATTAGAATGCCCGCGGACTATTTAGACCAGGCGGAATCAGAATTGAATGAAGGAGCTGCCAAATTGTGTATGAAAGGATAAAGATATATATTACATATATACAAATACTAAGCAAAGTAAAATTAAAGTGTAACTTCATATATAGGAAATCACTTTGGCCGAATAAAATAAATAATAAACAGGGTGAGTTTCGAAAAAGTGACCAAACTGTCTTTATCGCTGTTTGTTAGGAGTTTTTTTCCGGAGCGAAGATATGAAAAATGTCATAAGGTATACCAATAAGAAGACCACAAGTCATACTTTGACGTTGGTTGAAAATTTCTTACGATCTCTGAAACTTAGAATAAAAACTGCGGTATCATATTCAATGATTGTATTCCAATGAGATATACGACACTGATTATCAGCTACTTCTCAGACGAGTCGGATTGGATGTACTCCTCAAGATTCTTTCATTTCTTCGCAACCATTTCGATCAGGTAAACACGAATTTCAATACTAGTTTGATGAAACCCCGCAGAATACTTTTGAACAAATATAACAGATGACGAATTCCTAATAAATATATGATTAATTCATGGAGAAAATATAACTTAATTGTAAGCTATTTGTTAATGATCGGACCCAAGAACAAACTTAAAAGCCCTATTCGTCTATTACAAATATGAAAGATATTTATCCTGAAATTGGATAGGCGTTATAATACAATATTACAAGATAGAACAAACATTCGCACGAGAAGTCGCTCGATTGTGATTTTTCAAATAAACTTTTCCTGTTTTGTACAAACTGCTGCTCGTGTGCGTTTATTTAAATTGTGGTATAATAAAAGTTTGCATATGATTATTGTTATATTATATATATATATATATATGTTATTAAATGGCAAACTTCCTGATTGTGAATCGCACTATATATATAGAATATCCCAGCGTAACAATCCATTTTATAAATAAATAGGTAAAGCGGAAAATAAGATGTATAGAACTATTATATGTCTTGATATAAAAAAAACAATAATTCTCTTTGTTGGGATTGCTCATGGTTTTCATATTTCACAAATTTTCCTAGTAAATAGTCCTTCCGACACTATTTATCTAAGGACAACTGATGTGAAGCAATATAAAAATATGACGCATTTTTGAATCGTTTCAATCGTTTTCAAATGCTACGCAGTGACAGAAATCAATGAAATAAATTCATCTTTGCGACAATTGGTATTCAGTTTGGTGAAATAGTTTTTACTAACAACAGTATGCGTCGATCATTTGGCCTTCTCTCTATATTTAGTTTCGTAAATTTCTTGTTGTATGCTGATGGGTTCAAGAATAAGAGGAAGTTTATGATATTTAATGTGAACTCAAGATTGATCAACAATTGGATTGAATGTTTAGCACACTCGTTGCCGATAATTTACTATTTTATTGAATAATAGTGAAACGTGGAAACACTGACTATTCATGACATACGAAAGCTTATAACGGGATATACCAACAGACTGCCAATTATGAATTTGTATAGGACTGGACATCGGATGAATTGACATTGCAAGGACAGAAAACTTTGATATTAGATGGGTATATATCGCGAGGAGGCCAATTCAAGTGTAAAAACTATCTGGGTGATTGAGACAATATTTTTCCAGAGACCTGAAAATAAAACATTAGAGCAAATATAGAACAACAATGAGAACAGTATTGAACAATTGCTCGTACCCGATGATCTCAATGTAGAGATAATGGTTTCTAATTCTTCAAAATATTACAAAAAATCGATCCAGTATATTATAATGTGGGCGTCGGGGGAATAGTTTTTTATGACAAAATGAATTCAAACGTCACATCGAATACATATTCGTTAATGCAAGAATTTCATATATATATCAAAATTTGCTGGCTTTTTATACGTTTAAGAATAATATAATTAAGGACAGATGTCCAAGGCACGAACGACGACTTTTCTGGGACAGCACATGACAGGTGTATCTATCGAAATTTGATTGTGATCGAAGAAATAAAAAATATTAGTATGGCGTTTATTATAGACAACTGCTTACATAAACTAATATTTAATATATGGTCGTCAGTGGGTAATTCATTCCGCGCATAAGCATAGTGGCCGAAAATTGATAAAGATGAAAAAAATGTGTGATAAAATCTTGTCATGGTAGTCGAGTCGTTCGGAAGTAGGATACTGAATTCCAGAACAAATGCAAGTAACCAAATGGCAAACTGGTACACGACAGGACGTCGCAATTGATCTTATATGGATAAGACGCATACAGACGAAAGCTTGCCTGTGGTTGTATACTACTACATAAGTTTTGTGTTTTGTTTTCGAAGTTGTTACGATGCGCGCAGCAATTTTAAATTCCCAAAATTTTGTCAGAGTACAGAACAACGCCACACACTTTCAAAGAAAACACGCATGCTTATCTGATGTTTGCAAAACAGCTGATAAACAATTTATTCAAATTTGATTATTGCTTATACGTATGCAGTTATAAGGCATTGTCGTCTTTGGTATGGATTTAATTAACTGTAAACTTTGTTACCTATCGATCTTGATCGGTAAATATGTTGATAGGTATTTGTCTTTTTATTTGTTAGATACACGCGATATTTCACGAAAGCGAGGTTGACTCTGCTCCAAATTTTTGGTTATATAAACTACTATAGGGGAGCAACAACAAAGTTTGGGAACCACTGCTCTACAACAGTCTAACAGAACAGGTTCGTGCGAACCACCACTGACTTTCTTGCCTATGAATACTTCCTTCCGGCAATAGTGAAATTGCCTAGAACTTCTACGATTTTGTCACATATCGAAATATACCGGGAATTCTGGCCAAGGTATCAAACCAAATATAGCTAATCTAGCTCAGGGCCTGTTCATGATCTTCAGTTCCCAACAATCAAAAACTGTTCAGTATTGTTATTTAGTATTATGACCAGTGGTCGGATTCATTTTTTTTTGTCAGCCGGTTCCTTCACAAAAGTCATATCTTTTAGCCGGTTCTGTTACAAACAGAACATTGACAGTACCCAATATAATATGATGCTAACCGGTTCGCTGATCTCATAAAATTCCGTGAGACGGTTCTATAGAACAGATGCTAACTGGCTGAATCCCACCACTGATTATGATATCTGGGTCTAAAAATTGAGTCACGAGGAAATAAAAATTCATTACGTAAGTTTGAGATTGACAACCAATGTGAATAACACTGATTTTGCAAATAATCAGAAGAGATTTAGTGATGACAAAAACTTTCATCAGATGATTCACATAAATGAATTTTGTGCTGAAGTCCCCAACTGCAAACTCTTTGATTAAAATATTCAAACCAACTGACTTGGCTTCGTAATGGCGATCACTACTAGAGTACTACTACTGAAAGTTATCTACAATTTATTCAAATGGAAGATTATTGTGTAATAGCTTTTTTTAAATTCCTTCAATTCTCCAATATACTGGAATGGCGTATCATATTATCGACTGTCAACGCTAGCTAATTAATTCACTGATCACAACAAGCTAGATGTATTAACGATTGATCGTTTTGAAACGTGTAAAGTGTATCAAAACGCAGAATATTCAACGTTCAAGATAATACTTCTTTGTACCATGACACCAATTTGTCAGACTCATGTTCTCTTGCAGTGACGTCACATTTCGAGTCAAAAGGTTGGCGTGTAGCGAATGTGCATTGCGTAACTATGGATTATAACCTATTTAACCCTTTCATATTAATAGCATGTAATATTTCACAAAATAGGCCGCATTATGTTACGCAACAGCGATAATGCATTCGCTCCATGTATTGCCTTTCTCGTTTCGACCAATTTGATGACGTGTCGTTTCCGGTTTGCCGAGACTGCTCTATAATATTGTGCTTTTTGTTTCACTTGTGATCTGACCGTAATCTTACTGCATTAGGAATTAAGTGTGTACAATTTTATCTGTATTTGGAATTTGGATCGTGCATCTTTTCAATAATATACAACAATTCGACAATCAACATCGTGTGCTTATTATCGTTTGAGGGAATTCAGATTGGAGTCACATTCCATAACACGTGTAATTAATAACGTGGGAATCGAACTTTAAATATTAGGGTGAACAGTCTTTATCCCTAAGACCGCATCTCGTCTCCCTATATTTTTATTGTGGTGAACGATACCACCCTGAAATTGTGACGTCTGTATGAAAAACATAAATTAAACACACATATTTCAACTTCAATTAATTAGTGTTTTATGATGAAGTTCTACAGATCTTGATAATTTTTTCCCAGATTCATTCTGTCATTGTATACGAAGTCACCAGCTGCATATTACAACATAAGAGGTATTTTACGTTTGCCATGATAATCCATTTTGCTTGACTTCAGGCTGGTACTAATAACTTTTTCACATAAATTTGATACCTATTATTGTCATTATCTAAATATGGCTTCAACATATACATATTTATAGTTTTAGATGTGCCAAATCATTTTGAATTATTTTGTCGAGTGTTTTTAAATTATTGATGTGTGACTTTTTTTCTACTGCAAAATCCACCACATTTATTGAATGCATTAATATTTCTCCGGGAACCGTTATATTTTATTAATTCCAATTTGTTTTGTGGGGTATTCAACTTATATTTATATAAACACATACATGCTTAGATGGTAAACAAGGTTCAATTGTTGAGGCAATTTTTTTTCAAAATACCGTAACTAAAATATAAATTTTTGCAGACGACTCAAAACTCGCTTTTGAAGAATGATTTGCTGTCACCAGATGGGGTTTTGGCATGGAAACACATCTAGAATGAATTTATGAAGATATGTCTAGCTAACTCAATAGCTTGATAAAAATGTCTGTTAAATATTAAGAACATGTATAGCACAAAGAATTGTTTTGGATATTAATTCATTTGTATTTTCTTATCAAATCTATCTCCTATTGAGCATTTAAATACTTGGATCATGGTTATTATTGCTAAAATTACCAACAGTATTCAGGTCCTTAATAAACAGATAAACCGGAGAAATTTTTTTTGTAGGTTCTTCCTACATCTGTTGCTAGGATTCCGGAAATATCTGAATTTGAAGCAACTGCCACGTTTTGCAAACTGCAGAAAATCCTGTTTGACATATGCAACAGCACTACTGACGTGGCTTCCCTCAAAAACGGAAATCCACTTCGTCTGAAACATCTGGAGACAAAAGACTGCAGTGGATCAGCCAAAATTTCATAAATTATTTTACACACTGGAAGTCTACAACAGGTGATTAGCTCCAGGATTTTTTAACAAACTAAATGCTATACAGCTGCATGCAACACACTTTGTGCTCATATTTAAAAAAAAAAAAATTTCCTTGCTTTTCCAGCGTATGAAGGGCTCCAAATACTGGTACCTTCAACATGTGATATACTATATTAGACCAAACATCTGTCAGACCCCCCATTAAGTGTAAAATAAAAGTCTTCCCTATTGTTTTACTATATCATACATATAAATTGTTCGTGGTCTGAAACACTTTTTAGAATTAGACTATCGTGACTATTGAAAACTAACATTTGCCGGCTTTCGATCAGACCTGCTAGGTGTTTTGGTCCAACTTGTCAATTGAAAATTTCAGCCCCCTCCCCATATTTTCATTGAAAATATTCAAATGGAATTCATTAAAAAGCAGTGCAACGAGGAAATAAATCTATATTCTATTCGAGAGATGTATCGCTGCTCGATTTTTTTTATAAAGAGTACCATCCGTTCGGTTTTCAACTTTCTAAAAATATGTGCGCCCCACCAATGTCTTTTCCTTAATGATGGCCCGCGAACGACAAAAGGTTACCGACCCCTGCCGTAGGGCCTCACCCTAAATATTGAATGAATCGCCAAAAGATTTTCAGTTCAAAAGATGCATATTTTGCAGGTCGCGGGGCTGAGAATCCATCGGTGCTCCAGTTGATTGAAAAGTTGAAAAGAAAAAAAAAATATGTAGCAATGTTCAGTGCCTAATCCGTTAGTCGTTGGCCTAATCACATTAGTAATTAAAATAATAATTTGTATTTCTATGGATTATTGAGAAAAACTTGGGTACTCCAGAAATACGTGTACCAAGATGACGGACAACGGAACATAATATGTGTACCAGGTTAGGCCATAATTTTAGGTACAAATACTACAAAACTCACTTGGTTAGTACCTGAACTCGTAATAGAACTAAAATAGGAAAATTGGAATAAAATTATGGCCTAACCCAACGTGGTACACATACTACGTTCCGGTGTCCTCGTTTCTAGGCACGCATACTTCAGGAGTACGGAAACTTGACTGTAATCACATTGTCTTAATCTTCGTTTTAGCTGCTGTGTTTCTTCAATTGTTTTCGTATTTCATGAGTCCTATTGGTCATCTTGTTGATATTAGTTTTGGCTGCAGTACTTTACGTATACATTTGCTCTATTTTTTGTAAATTTTTTGAATACTTTTTCAAGTAGTGTTGTTACATCTTGACATTCAGTTACATTGTTTAATAGGTATTTGCTCATGAATGATTTGAAAATATTTTTCTTTTATATCAAGTGTCGGATTTTCAATGATGTGATAATGGAAATAAATATCTGCTGCTTGCATGTATTGATATGGCCCTTGTATAATTGACTATTGAAAAAGGTTTTTATA